CATCATATCTGTTTTGAGTTCTCCCAGATTTTCAATGACAATATTTTGTTTAAGTTTATCTGGGAACATCAAATTCTGTTATTCCATCCTGAAGATGGTTACCATAAAAACAAGTTTTGATGCAATTTCTTCTGGATGGCATAAGCAATGTCCAGCAAACTTCATCCTTTTGAGCATATCAATTGAAAGTATTAAATTAAACTGATTTCAAATTTTACTTAAAAATCTGTCTTGATTGAATAGAAGATATTTTTTGGAACCAGTTATAGAAACGTTTTTTAAAATCAATTTCATCAGTCTGATAATGACTTTGTGCCTTACCAATATCTCCATTGTTATATCCTCTGCTTGCTTATATTCTATTGTAGACATCAAACTTAAATTGAAATAACTAAACTTAATTAAAATATCTAATTCCTTCCAGGTGTTTAAACCACTTAACTATTCCAGATAATCACAGACATGCTTTCAAATGTCTTTGTGATGTCTTTGCAAAGCATCTGCCAATATTTCTGAGATGAGGTATTATGTACACTATTTACATTCAGACTATTGTCCTCATCTTTGTTGCAATATTTATTGCATTTCCTTGTTCTCAAGGACACATAGCACAGTGGATAAAGGTGTTCATTAGATCCAGTGACAGGACCCAAACAATGCGAGTTCAATACCCAGTTAAGACAGTGGAGAACTTGGAGAGGGGAATTAACTGACATCCATTAAAAACATGGCACGTGGAACTAGAACAGTCTAACCCAGTGAGTGAAATAAAGGATTCAGTTTGACATTCCAAGCACCTGAAGAAGGTTGGAGCATACAACAGCTGAAATGTTGTAATAAATAAGGTGACAAAGATGAGAACTAATGTAAATAGTGTACATAATGAAGCAAAGCATTTTTACATATTTGTGATAGGATATCTTTGGTTCTTCTCAAATGTATTTTCTAGAAACATTTTGGTTTTTGCATTACTGAGCATTGCATTCTTGAATATTTTTTCACTTTGATCCAATGTATTTTTTGAGTTTCTTTGTTAAAGTGTAATGTGACTTCCAATTGTATCGATTTGAAGATGATGAAATCAGCTTTAAAAAGGTGAAGGTCTGTTGGTTTCAATCTGCATTGGAATGAATGCAAAAAAACATCCCCTTTCCCAAATTTATAGACAAATCATACAGATGCATGTTGGGAGGTCTTCCTAGCCAATAAAATGGGCTACTTCCTAGTCTCATCTGCCATATTTTTATTCTTTCTTTTCCTAAAGTCAGAACGCAATAATCACTTGAACATTTTAGTGTGTTGACACAATTCTTACTTTGTATTCTTTTTACCTTGTTGCTACTGTTGCTTTGCCTAGTTTTATCTTGTGTGTGTGTGTGTGTGTGTGTGTGTGTGTATATATATATATATATATATATATGTTTGCTTAATATTATTTTGCTCTGTTCTTTTTCTTACTGCTTATTGGAAACTTAATTCCATTTGTTGGGCATTTTCGACTAATACACTGTCCAATTACTCAACAGGTTCACTTAAAATTCAGTAGTGAATTATTTTAAAAGAATTTGCTTGGAAGAAAATTGTCAATGTACTTTTAAAGCATACTTTCTGGAAAATATTGTGCAGATCTCTAGTTTCAGAATTACTTAATCAAATATATTTTCAGGTTTTTAGAGAGAGAGAGTTTGAAGCAATAGTATTATGTTAATTTTTTTTTATTCAATGAAACATTATCATTATCCACAATAATTCTTGTTTAGACTCATAGTATATAGATCTCTTAGCCATAATTTGTTTGAATTTATAAGATGAACAGTATATTTTTATTTAAATTATTTCACCCCAAACAAAGCAATAAATCCACTAAGACTCAAGAGGTTACTGTGTGTTAGAAAATATGAGGAAAAAAACATTAGTAAGGAAAGAGAATATTAAAAGAACAAGACGACAGAAGATAATGATTGACTTTGATCTTAAAAAATGTAAATGCAAAGTTGACTGGGAAGCAAGGAGCCAGAAGAGTTCCACAAGTGAGAAGTGCAACAGAAGAAACCTTTAGTATAGAACTTAGGATTACATCTAGCAATTTTAATTGAAAAATGATGAGACCTTGCCACCAATCTAGTACAGTGCTTAAATTCATAGAGTCTAGGTATGATAGAGGAGAGTACAATTATCCTGAAAGTATTTATAGAAAAGGCAAAGGGAAGTGATGTTACAATAGTACAAAAGTGACTGAAGGCAAGATGCCAAGTCAGGACCAATAACATTGCTGATTCTTCCTTGGACTTTTGATAAAGTCTCTAAATATATAGCAGGACACCAGACCAGATTTTTTTTTGTCATCATTAATTTTCTTATTTCTGTTATTAATGATAAGAACTTTATTTCAGAAACTCAAACAAACTATTACATCTAATATGACTATTTTAAAGTAACAACAAAATGGAGAATAAAAGAATATGGCTTGTTTGAATGATGTCTACTTGTTCAGCCTTTGTAACTTCAAAGTCCAAATCTTTCCAAAAGCTGATTTAATTTTTTATCTAAACTACTTATGTAATGTTTGTAGAATTTAAAAACAGTTTGAGAACTATGCTACCCCAGGCCTGTGCCCCCTCCAAAAAAAAAAAAAAAATAAATAACAAATAAAATGAAAGAAAAATTAAAGAAATAGTCATAACAGATGGACATTTTTTTTTTATATAAAAGACAGTTTTATTATCAAAAATGTCTTTTGTATCAAGAACTCATTCCCTCAAATGTGTTTGGGTTAAAATTTGAGAAATTATTTTGCCTATTCATTTCTATTTAATAAAAACCAAAATCTGTTTTTATTTGTTTTTTTGAATGAATAATTAAAAGAGGTACTGCTGGCCTAGAAGGATGAGTGGGTAGCCAGCCCTGGTCAAATGAGTAGTGTTCACAAGGCATGGCTTCATCTCATTCCCATCCACCAACTATGAGTTAAATAGCAAGGTAGACTGGACTTTCTAGTCTTGGGTGGCAACCAATCTAGAAAATGGACAATTCTGAATTGCAAGCTATGGAGAAGGCAATTAAAACCACTCCATTATCTTTGCTAAGAAGTCATGGATGTTCAATGATGATAAAGAAACTGTTAAGAGTCACTCTCCCTTCATCCTGAAGACAATAGGAAATCCTGCCATTAGCTTTCCAAAGAATACATATTAATTTACAGATAATAAAAGAAAAAGAAACCTGTGGAGACTCATGAACATCTATGCCCTGAAGAGATGCATCTTTTTTTTTTTTTTTTTGTCATTTCACTTCATGCAAGGTGACAATGACACTAGAACGTAGTTAGTTCCAGGGTGTGAAAGTGAATGCGAAGATTGAAAATGAAAAGGATTGAGTAAGGGACAAAAAAGAAAAAGGCTTCAAGAAGACAGAAGATAGGGACTGAGGCTGATTTAAACTTCTAAAGATTTTAGTTATCAGGAAAGCAAGAAATTGGAAGAAAGTTACACAGGTGGGAAGTGTGAGAAAAGAAACTGTTAGAATGGAAATGATGGTTGCATCAAGCTGGTTCAACAGTAAAATGCTGAAAACTAGTTGCCAATCTTGTAGTATTCTTAAATTCATGTAGTTGAGGCACCAGGAAAAATGCTTGTCTGAGCAGTTACCATGAAAATAGTTGTAGAAGAGGCAGAGGGAGTCACATCAGTGAGAAAGTGACTGGAGATAAGACACCTGGCCAGGATTGATTGTATTGCAGACCATTCTCTGGATTTTGGAAAGAAACTTTAGGTGCATAGTAGGAGCACCAGACCAGATATGGCAACAATATTCAATATGCAGACAGATGGTAGAACTAAAAATGTGCAAGATGGATTATGCTGAGAAAAATCTTTTGGCATGAGGGCGTGAACCAACCTTCCTCATAACAGATATAGCAATTGACTTGATATAGTTGCTCCACTTCATGTCAGTTGAAAACGTGAAGCCAAGAAGGTGTAGCATGTTGCTCAACTGGAAATTGGTAGCCTAATGGTTAATATTTTTGGAATCAGTGAGCAACTAAGACAGTGTTCACTGATGACCTTGAATAAGTCATAAATCCATTTTTTCTCTCCTTGCTGACAATCTATGAGCATAGTAGTAAAGAATCCAGTCAGAGAAGAAATACTTTGAATTCAAAATCAAGAATAAAATCTAATCCTTCCACGAGTGAAAAATAGCTAAAGAAATAGTAAGTGGGACTTACAATTCCACCCTTTATAGTACACAAGCTGAATAACTAAGTGGACCCAGGATAAATAATTGAATTTCCATTATATTGCTTGACCAAGAAGCCCTGCCAAAAAATACTGACATTTGGTTAGTTCATTAGATTTTTAGGAGTGGATCAGGCTGTGTTATGTCGTAAATTGGAAGGGTTGACACACACATAGAAAATAAGTAGTTTATTCCAGAGAATAATATGGTTCACGGCTGAGAACACAGACTAATGTAATAAACAGTTAATTGTTAACACCTCTCCCTCAGTAAGAGAGAGTGCAATTAAATAATCTTAGACTTGTGGGCGTGTTCAGCTACTCCATAACAGGCTGAAAACCCTTCTGTATTCTAATAGAATGTTCAGAAAAAACAAACTTCATTATGTCAGCAAAATCCAAATCATGTTTTGTTGATCAAATAAAATGCACAAATTGATTTTTTATAATTATTTTCATAATCTCTATTTGAAAATTAGAAGAAAATAATTATATTTTATCTATAAGGTCTAAGTTAAGGGAATTTGAGCAATGTGCACAAACCGAATGTAGTAGAGACTACCTAAACTTTAGTTTGCCTCCTGTCCTACAAAGAAGGGAGAGGAATAGGGGCAGGAGGAGAATATTTTTGTAAGGGTCAAATTCTTTAAAATTTTGTGCAGCATCTCATGTGAGATGTAATCCATTCAAACAAAAATTATTTAGAGTTAAGATTAAAAATGATAATTTAAAGGTGATATGAGTAAAGAACAGGTGTACAGATTATTGTTTCAAATAAAGAAAGAAAAGGCGGGGAGGGCAGAGGACGAGAGGGGAAGAAGAGGCCCGGTGAGGGGGGGGGACAGAAGACGAGAGGGGAAGAAGAGGCCCGGTGAGGTTGGGGGGACAGAAGACGAGAGGGGAAGAAGAGGCCCGGTGAGGTGGGGGGGGACAGAAGACGAGAGGGAAGAAGAGGCCCGGTGAGGTGGGGGGGACAGAAGACGAGAGGGGAAGAAGAGGCCCGGTGAGGTGGGGGGACAGAAGACGAGAGGGGAAGAAGAGGCCCGGTGAGGTGGGGGGGGACAGAAGACTAGAGGGGAAGAAGAGGCCCGGTGGAGGTGGGGGGGGACAGAAGACGAGAGGGGAAGAAGAGGCCTGGTCGGGGGGGGGACAGAAGACGAGAGGGGAAGAAGAGGCCTGGTCGGGGGGGGGGACAGAAGACGAGAGGGGAAGAAGAGGCCCGGTCGGGGGGGGTGGACAGAAGACGAGAGGGAAGAAGAGGCCCAGTGTGGGGTGGACAGAAGACAAGAGGGGAAGAAGAGGCCCGGTGGGTGGACAGAAGACAAGAGGGGAAGAAGAGGCCCGGTGGGTGGACAGAAGACAAGAGGGGAAGAAGAGGCCCGGTGGGTGGACAGAAGACAAGAGGGGAAGAAGAGGCCGGGAGACAAAGAGCGAAATGAGAAGAGTTGGAGAAAAAAGTGATAAGCAAGAGATGGAGTTAAAATGGCAAGAGGTAGAGAGAAAAAAGATGGACAAGAGGTAGGAAAGAGAGAGAGAGAGAGTAGAAAAAGGTGACATAATGTGATAGGGGATATATTAGAGGTAGTGAAATTGAGCATTGGAGATGCAGTACAAAACTGAGTGTGATTGAATGAAAAAAAAAAACAAAACGATATACAAAAATAATTTTCAATCTAATTTCCAATGACAAAAATTTTGCTTTGTTTTACAACTGGTATTGCTATTAAAAACTACAATGTCACCATTAGCCAGCATTTAAACCATAGCATGTCATATTTCTTTCTATTACTTTCCAGTATGCAGTAAGTAAAATCTTGGTGACACATCCAAAGGTTTTTCCACATTTTTACATTGGACAACAATCATATTTCTACAATCAAGAAATAATTTCTATATTTTTTGTTTAATAAAAGAACTTTCTACAGGGACTCACATTGAAATTTATTTATGACAGTCCAACTTTGTAACTGCCTAAATATTCATGAGGGGATCCAAGTTCTGATCCCCTTTCATATGTTGTTCATTATTTCAATATTTTTCTTTTTCAAATAATCAGCATTAATGAGAAAATGTCTGATAGTGTTTTGACTATTTTCCTCTTGTTCTATTTTCTTGTATAGGACATTGTTTCATACCTATCTAGTTCCCTAGCAGTTGTGAGTTCAATCCATTGACCTGGTAGTACTTAAAAGTTACACACTCTGGTTTATTGAAAGAAATGAACAAGCAACATGAAGATGAATGAAATTGGTAAATACTGACTGATATGAAATATTCCCTAACCATGGAAATCAGAACAAGAAAAATCTCCTCCTGTGAACTGAAGAAATGGTTCAGTTCAAAATTCCAAGATGATCACCAAGTAGATTGATAGACTCCTAAAGAAAACCAAGAAGTAAAATGGACAAGTCATTATGAGTATAGCAACCAAGATGAAAATCATGGTCCATATAATAAATCTTATAATAGTATTTATCTAGTACTTATTTCCATGTGTTTTATTACACAATATATTTTTAACCATTATTAACTTTTACGTCTGATAATTCAAATGTTTAACTTAGCCCAAAACTAAAGGGATCTCTGGTCCAGCTTACAAAACAGCAATGATAATTTTGAAGAAATAAATTTAAATTCTTCAATTGACTTAATGGAACTTCAAAAGCTCACTAAATCATATTCGGGCTATAGTTCCAATTCCAGCTAAAAGAATAATTTGGGCCGAAACTACAATTCAACACTGAAAACCGAGTTCTTCAAATCACACACTATAGAACTTCAAAACTTCAAGTCATAAAAGCTCTCACTTTAACTTTGATTCCTTGGCACTTTGAAGAAATAAAATTGATTTTCTCAATTCACAAGTTTTAAAGATATTTAAAACCGAATGTAAAACAAAACAAAAAAAAAAAATAAATTTAAAGTTTTTGTGTTACTTTAAACTAAATATAAATTAAAAACTTAAAATCACTGATTTTTATCAGTTATTTTAAAATTTGAATTTTTAACTGTTCCCTCCTCATCTAGACACAAATCCCAAATGCTGGATGTTCAAGCACCAGATTCTGGATTCTAAAAAAGTATATGTCTATGTAGAGCAAGTGTGACCCATGTTAGAGGGGTTTCAAACACACGGACAGACAGAATTTGCTATTTATTTATTTAGAAGATTTACACATCAATCTATAGTGTGAAGACAGTGTAAACCAGAAATAAAATTATTTAAAAATGAAATTTTATACAACATTAATTTTTATAAGCCAAGCCAAATATATAATATAAAATAAAAATAAAAAATAATTCAATAAAAAATTTAGTTAATTAAAAAAAAAAAAAAAAAAAAAAACACACACACAGGTAAATTATCTTAAAGTGTTATGGCACATCATTTTGGAAAACTGTAGTGATATAAATCTTGGAGGCTCCAGTTTGAAAAACGTTTATGTGAAAATGCCTTGATATGATAATCCAACAATAATATTGTTGGTAGTATTTTCTTACAATAGAACTTAGAATATGGTTGATGGTAAAAGATCATTCAATGAAAGATACGAGGGTAGAAACTATTATTAAGGATCAAAATTCCAAGAGTAAATTTATAAAAATAATCCACAAAAAGAAGTCAAGAGTAATAGAGAAACATCTATTAATAAGTTGAAGATTGATTAGCAAAAATAGGTTATTCTGGAGTAGAAGATTTGGTTGGAAAAGAAAGTGTTCAAGTATTCAGCAAAAGGTTGAAAATGAAAAAAAAATGAAAAGAAAAAGGACTTCTGTCGCCTGTTGGAACATTGAAGGGAAAAGTGCAGACTGAAAGGTCAACTTAACTCAATAACAGTTCTTCCTGATGTTGTTTTGTCAATACTAAAGAAAGAAAGAAATCCTATTTTTGTATCTAGACTTACATTTGTTGACGACCTACATGATTTAAAAGATAACTAGCCCTTCAGGCTGATAAGACTCAGGGAAGATCTATCTACAAAGATTCTTACTGACATAAGAATTCTGAATAATTTTAAAAATTTTCATATTTTTTCTTTGATATAAAATATAGAAATACTTGTTTATGTACAAATAAATAAAACCAGAAAAAGATAACAATTCACTTGTATTCCATAAGAGGTAAATTTAAAATGACATATGTTTCTACAAAGATATTAGGACAAAATTAAATAGAACTTTTTATATTGTAATTGATAACTTTAACCTACTTGATTGTTTTAATTCTTGTATTTTAAACTAACTTTCCTTATATAAAAAAAGATTATGAACTTTCTTTATCGAAATAGACAGACATCATCAACCGTCTTTCTTTATCGAAATAGACAGACATCATCAACCGTCTTTCTTTATCGAAATAGACAGACATCATCAACCGTCTTTCTTTATCGAAATAGACAGACATCATCAACCGTCTTTCTTTATCGAAATAGACAGACATCATCAACCGTCTTTCTTTATCGAAATCATCAACCGATCGAAATAGACAGACATCATCAACCGTCTTTCTTTATCAAATAGACAGACATCATCAACCGTCTTTCTTTATCGAATAGACAGACATCATCAACCGATCGAACATCATCAACCGTCTAGACAGACATTCAACCGCCTTTATCTAAATAGACAGACATCATCAACCGCTTCGAAAAATAGACAGACATCATCAACCGCCTTTTCTTAAAATAGACAGACATCTTTTTCTTTCGAAATAGACAGACATCATCAGACATCGACATCATCATCATCAACCGTCTTTCTTTATCGAAATAGACAGACATCATCAACCGTCTTTCTTTATCGAAATAGACAGACATCATCAACCGTCTTTCTTTATCGAAATAGACAGACATCATCAACCGTCTTTCTTTATCGAAATAGACAGACATCATCAACCGTCTTTCTTTATCGAAATAGACAGACATCAACCGCCTTTTCTTTATCAAATCAGACATCATCAACCGTCTTTCTTTATCGAAAGACAGACATCATCAACCGATCAAATAGACATCATCAACCGTCTTTCTTTATCGAAATAGACAGACATCATCAACCGTCTTTCTTTATCGAAATAGACAGACATCATCAACCGTCTTTCTTTATCGAAATAGACAGACATCATCAACCGTCTTTCTTTATCGAAATAGACAGACATCATCAACCGTCAAATAGACAGACATCATCAACCGTCTTTCTTTATCTTTCTTTATCGAAATAGAAATCATCAACAGACATCATCTACCGTTTTCTTTATCGAAATAGACAGACATCATCAACCGTCTTTCTTTATCGAAATAGACAGACATCATCAACCGTCTTTCTTTATCGAAATAGACAGACATCATCCTTTATGGAAAAAAAACAAAAAACATTGCAAACTGCAGTTTTTATAAATTTGATAGAAATATATATCAACACATACTATTATGTACCATATCCATCAGCTCTCAAACAACTTCCTCTATCCTTTCTATCTTAGCAATGTTTGTCTTTTCAGTAACCATTTCAATCCTTGATATTACATTATTACAGTTCAGCACTCTTTTCATTGAATTTAAAGAAATCTTTCTATTTCCTAATACTTTGCTTAGTTTTTGGAAGGCGTTTTTTGTTGCACTAAAGGATATTGCTATAACATTTTCTATCCCCTGTTAAAACACTTCAGAGATATTTAAATTTATATACTTGCTTGATTTTGACATCTCCAAGTTGTAGCCTGTATTTTGGGTGGTTCCTTTTGCTAACAACCTCTCTCTTACAACTGATAGTTCTTTCTTCTCCAGTGTTATTAACTTAAGGAAAATGGATACAAATAAGACAATTGTACTTAGAAGAGCTGACATTTATGGGACACATAATGAGGAAAGAGGGCTTGGAAAATTTGGCACTCAAAAGGCATATTTAAGGTAAAAAATGGGCAAGAGATAAAACTCAATACCTAATAAGTTTGGGCAAATAGATGATAGAACATGGACTGGGAGAGATAGTAAGGGAACAACCATTGCTTAGAGCTTCAAAGAGCAGGAAGTTATGGAGAGCTATGATCACACATGCCTTAGTGGGACATGGCATATAAAAGAATAAAAAGAATCCATAATAAGAGAATTACCTGGAAAATAATCAGCTATTTAAAATTTTTAACAGGTAAAATAGCCAACTTAGAATAATAGTATTTCAGTTTTCTTCAGAGTGTACATCTTCAGTCTTTACATGCAGTCATTCCACTTTCCAAAATTATCTACAAAGTCCCCTTTTGGAACTGCCATTTGTTACCTCATCTTATTCTCCTAAATTTCAAGAGGAGATTCTACCTCTTGGAAAAGCCAGAAGTCACAGGGAGTTAAATTCGGTGCAGCTGACAGACATAGGGATACAATGACGTAGTTAAAAAAAAAAAAAAAAAACAACATACACAAAACTTGAAAAATCTATTCCCTCAGTAATCATAAATGTGACAATCACAAGCTATGGGCTCACTCAAAGACATCTAAATGTTAAATGCATAATCCAGTAGGAGAAGGACCATTTGCATATGTACAGTAAGGTCCTCATTTAAGGTCATGCCACCAGTTCTCAAGACATTTAAAATGGCTGGATACATTCTAGATACACCTTGTATATGTGAAGTACCTTGGTGAAAGAAAATGTTCTGAATTTTTCCTTTGCATACAGTGGGAAGAAACTGTCAAGAAAAAAGATTCTGGATTCTAAGTCAAATAACTTTGAAAATAAAAGCTCAAATTAGGTAAATAAAATGTGCTTATATTGTCACCATTTTTTTTTTTTAATTTTGTGCATGCACATTGTTTATAGTATAGTAAGGTCAATAAGACACTATCTGTGAGAAAAAGAGAACCATGACAATTCACTTCACCAGAAAATTGGACACTGCATACTGTACTGCATGGCATTCACATTGGAAACTGCAATACAAACACTTCAGAGAGTTTTTTTTCAGTTTGAGGACAGTGCAGAGGATTCAGAAAGAGTTGGATGAGTCTAAATGGTGATTAAGAGGGTATAGCAGTCCAGAAAACTAATCATACTGATGTGAAAAGAACTCCTGAATTTGTTAGTGAGGACTTCAGACTCAATACAGAGACCTACATCTAGTGGCTTGAGGAGTTACTGCTGCCTGGGTCAAGAGGGTGGCTGCTGGAAGACCCTATGTCTGTCAACAGGACTGTACCATACCACACAAGCAGGAGAACCCAGTCATGGCTGTAAGACATCACCTCTTACATCAGGCCACCTAACTCTCCAGATTGCAACTTCCTTGATTATTGTGTGTGGAGTGCAGTTGTGTGAGAGACTATCAAAACTCCTTGTAAAATCAAAGATGAATTGAAGGCAAGGATTATGGCAGAATTCACCAACTTAAATAAGGAAACCATCCCTAAGAGTTGCAGAAGATTCTGAAATTGTCTGGAAGCTGTGGTTGAAGCCAATGATAATTTTATTGAATAAATTTACTCTTTAGCATTTCAAAATATTTTTAAGTAATTTTGATATATATATATATATATATATATATATATATATATATATGGTGCGATAGATAAATTGTCATCTAAATTATGCAAAAATGAAAATAACACCGACATCTCATTTTAACAGATATATTTAGCAAAATTACACAAATATATCTTGAAATACAAGTACATTTTATTCAGCTAATGTGAGTCCTTATTTTCCAAGTTATTTGCCTAGGAATCTAGAATCTGTTTTCTTGGCAGTTTCTTTCCACAGCACTTAAAGGAAGAATTCAGGCATTTTCATTCATCAAGGTACTTCAAGCATCTTATGCGCAACAACTTATCAAATCTGTTAGTCATAGAGAATTAAATTCAGCAACAACTTTCATCTAAAGAATGCCACACTTATTAAAAGAGAAAGTAACTTACTTAAAAGGAAAATTCTCAAAAGTGCTGCTATTGAATCTTATCAAAATATTAATCTGCACCCTGAATTTTCTCAAATTCCTTTCCTGAAAGAAATAATCTTTTCCCAAGTCAACATACATGTCTATAAAACATTTTTCAAACTAAGAGAAAACAGCTAAATTCAAGACCTATTATTTAAAACAATACAAACTAATCCCAAACAATATAAATAATATAAATAGTAATTACATCATATAAAAAAAAAAAAATCAACAACACTTACTCAGTTTTGTTTATTAGACATTATATCACTTCGCATCCTCCATAATTTACCTTGACTTTCAGTTAGCCTGATGCATAGTTATTAACATTCTTAAATTTAAAAATTTTGAAAAACTAACATTTTTACTTCTGTTTATAAATACTTGTTGCAAAATAAAATCCTTACATTTGCCTTGATAAAGTCTATCAAAGGACATAACACATTAGCTAAGAAAAGTTTTCCTTTCATATTTATTCATATTGTCCAGATATATTTTTAGTTCTGAGATTTATATATATATATATATATATATATATGTATGTAAAAAGGAAAGTATCAGCCAAATTAGGTAGCCATTGATAATAGAGGAAGCTAAGGAGAAAGCTGAGAATCATTGTAACTGGGAAAAGTGTTAGTTAGTATGGAAGTACTAAAGATATAAAGGAGTCATATAAGGTATTCATTGAAGCAATGGACATCCTTAAGCACTTTGCCTATGTTAGTAATTGCAGTTAACAACCACAATGCCACTTGTGCCAAAAGGTATATTTTTTTCAAATCCGGGATATTTTAAATCAATATCTTCTATTACCTCAAGTTCCCCACTTTAAAAAAAATAAGAAATATACAAACATGAGGTTGTTATTCTTTTACTTAGATATTATAGCTGAAATTCTGTCTTGGCAATAATGGTAGGACTTGGTTTGGTGCCATATTTTGACATCTATATTAAAAGAATATGCTGAATCATAACAAGAGCATACAATTAATCCTTTTTGAGATTTACATCCAACATAATTGGTTATGTCAACATGGGGTAGTTCTATAGTTCTGTTGACTATGCAAAGGGTAAAGAATTATAGTTGAATTTCTGAGTTGACCCCACTTAGCTTCAAGGATGATGGAAAATTATTTGAAAAAGAGAGAGAAAAAAAAAAAAAAAAAATCAGCATTTTGTTAATTTTTCTGGACATTAAAGGAAAAACTTTAATTTTATGGACAACCAATATGAACATATACAATAATGTTAATCATAACTAAATTTAACTTTAAAATTCTACAGAAAAATACAGATTATTATTTCTAATTAATGAATTTTGAAAAAGTTACTGTTAAGATTCATTTTTATATTTTGGGGTAAAGTTTAAAGAATTCTAGACTGGCTTTGGGTTTGACACTCAAAGAGAGCCCTAACATAGGGTACATTGTTGAAGTATTTTTGTATAGGTGTCAGTATATTTTTGCAGTTAATCCAAAAAAAAAAAAAAAAAAAAAAAATGTTTGGCAGGGAGTACTTCTTGATAGTTTGGAGGGTCTTCATTTTTTTTTTTTTTTATTCCTGGAAAGAGCAATGATATTTTCTCAAGATTTTATAACTTTCAACTGAGAGCAGCACTGGCTACTCAATGAATGAATGCTGAATGTTTCCTTATAAGGAAACAGCTAATATTACCTTTACATCTATTCTAAGGTTATTTACTAAATGCCTGTCATGTGTTCACCAAGTAAACTTCACAAGCCGTAGTAAGTTTAATCTTCAAAGTACGACAATAGTAACTAAATGCTGAAACCATCTAACACTGAATATAAAGACAACAAAAACACACCACTGGTAGCTTAATGGGGTTGATTAAACATTTTACTGTAATTTTAGTGAACACGAGTTCAATCCCTGAATCAAGTAGTGAAACCCTGGATCAGTAAGAATGAACAATAACTGGCATTAAAATAATACAATAATCAACAAGGGATTCTTGGTGGCCAGAGAGTACTTGGTTGAAATGTTATAACAACCAGTATGAGGATAACAGTTTAAAATACTAGTCTCAAAAAATTAAATAAAAATTATGCATTATGAACATGTCATGACAAACTCCCTTCTGATTTCTTACCATCTATCAGGTCATCCCATAAGTGCTGTCCGAATTTTAACTTTTTGTTAAAATGAACAAAATTTAAGGAGTATTTTATAATGTCTAATGGAGCTGAACATTATTTTTATGTTTAGATGCATTTAAACTGATCAAATTTTATTTCAGAGAACAATAAAATTAAATTTTGTTTAATTAAAAC